TTCCTCCTCCTCTTCTTCTTCTTCTTCTTCTTCTTCTTCTTCTTCTTCTTCTTCTTCTTCTTCTTCTTTTCCTGGTGCTGGCAGCTGCTGCTGCGGGTGGCGGCGCCAGCAGCCGAAAGATTGCCGGTGAAAAACACTGGAGTTTTGAGGATTGGCAGTTAATAAATTATTCTGTTGACGATTCCCAAAGGAACTCTTCTTTCAAGGGCAAACAGCGCAGGAATAAAAGGCTCCGGTGGAACATTTAGAAAGGGCTAAAGTATCCGGAGGCTGAAAGTGTGTGTTTAGGGCAAAGCACCGAGTTTAAAACCTGAAAGCATAAAACAGACCTGACTGAATCAAAAGGTTTTCAACTCGTGCCAAAAAGGCATCAAAGTCGGGGTCGCTGTACCCCAAATTCTTCTGTCCTGTTTAGCAACTTGCCTTCTTCTTTAAATGGGGGGGGGGGGGTGATGGATGTTTGGGCAGTCGAGTGCTCCCCAAAGAGATGTTGGTGCAAATATTAGCCCGTTTTCTCCAGTGTGTCATATGTAACAGATTAACAGAGTTGGAAGGGACCTTGGTGGTCATCTAGTCCAACCCCCCACTGCCCAAGCAAGAGGCCCAACACCTTTCCCGACAGAGCGCAGTCCAGTCTCTTCTTCCAAGCCTCCAGGGATGAAGCTCCCACAACTTCCGAAGGCAACTTCTGTTCCGTGGGTTGATTGTTCACTATCTCACTTATCAGAAAATTCCTCCTTATTTCCAGGCTGAATCTCTCCTTGGTCAGTTTCCATCCATTCTTCCTTGGCTGGCCTTCAGGTGCCTTGGAAAATAGCTTGACCCCCTTTCTCCTCTCTGGGGAAGCCCCTAAAATACTGGAAAACTGCTAACTATCCATGCCCAGTTCTTGCAACCATTCATTGTATGTTTTAGTCTCCAGGCCTTTGATCATCTTGGATAGATTCAGATTAACAGAGTTGGAAGGGACCTTGTAGGTCATCTAGTCCAACCCCTGCCCAAGCAGGAG